AGGGAAGGGAAGGGAAGGGAAGGGAAGGGAAGGGAAGGGAAGGGAAGGAAACGAGGAAGGGGGAAGGGAAAAGAAAAAAGGAACCCTAGTACAGAGCTCCCTTGCCTACTGCCCAGGCCTATCTGTTGCCATGGAAATACATTCTGCAGCCTCTGCCTTCGCCAGCACCCAGATGCCCAAGCTAGGTTGCTGTAGGGACTATAGCCCCTGGAGACAGGCTGGCTAGGGAGGGTCAAATTGGTCACAGGGAACCAGTGACAGCTGGCATGGCACTAGCCAGGATGATTTCGCACTGGGGCAGGGAAAGATGCCCAGACTGGATTGGAAGGAGTACCTCCTTACCTCTGTATACTCTCAGGTATGGAGTAGCTGGTGATGGCCAGCACCCGGAGGAGAAGGTCTTCTGCAAGAACAAATGGAAGGAACAGAGACTATGGTCATCAGCATTCTGAAGGCCGCTGCCCCAATCCACACCCTAGAGACTTTTTCCTCCTTGACCCTGGTACCTGGGTGTGGGCAGAAGCCGGGCATGGGGCCAATGGACAGCAACAAGCAACAGCATCACTGACATGAACTGAGCATGAATTTTCTACTTGTTTGAGTCCCACAGGGCAGCTCATGGACAGTGAGCTGATGGCTCACTGAGCTGTGAATGAACTTACCACTTCCTTTGATCCCATAGGGTAGCTCATGGGTAGAAGATGTCTTGACCCAAAAGTAGTCCTTAAGCTGCAGGAAGATGGGCTGTTCTCTGGAGTGGCTATACAGGGTAGAGATACCACAACAGAGCTGGGCCTCTGACTAGTATTACATGGTCTTCTCTTTTCCTCCTGGTTTCACCCCATTTCTGTCAGCCCAGGCCCTTCCCTCCAGCTAATTGATAATGAGGCAGAAACTCTCAATCCTGAGTTCTCCATGCCCTGTCCCAACCCCACATCATCAGGTACTTACTTGCCAAAGATCTTAGAGGCCTTCCTCTCTGCCTCACCCTGGAAGCATGGCTCCTCTTTCTCTGGGATAGGAAAATAAAAACTGGACAAAAAAAGAGAAGAGGCAGGAGACCCAGTCAAACCTGAGGCCCTGAGGCCAGCATCCCAGGTACTGACAGCACAGAGATCTCATGGTACTAGAGAAGGACTTGCAGAGTAGAATCTTCTCAACCCAAGTTCCACTTTGTATTCAAATCATTTCGAGTCCTGTTCTTCACGCCTTACTATGGGAGGCCACAGAAGTCACAGGATCCCTACCTCACATATCCCACTTACCCTTATGGAAAGACTCTAACCTAGCAACTAAAGAGGTCAGGCCAGGAGTCTCAGAACCCTTCTGCCTTGCTAGATACCCTACCTTTAGACCACCCCACCTTTGGGAAGAAACAATGGAGGACACCGAAGGTATACTCACAATTCAATGTACCTATCTTCTCGGGAGATGGAATACCACACCATGACGACCAAGACAAGAGCCAGCATGGCCAGGAGCTTCCAGCCTGCAGGGTACATGCACAGAGGAGCTGGAGACAGAGGCAGGTAAGTACTGCCCCAGGCCACCTTCTCCCTGCCCATCCTGAGCCCCTCCGCCCTCAGCACAGCAAACCCAGTCTCTGTTCCTCTCCTGTCCCAAGCCCAGGGCTGGGACCCAAATGTTTCTGCTGTCAGAATGAAGAGAGGATCCCTGGCTCCCAGTGTGACCCTCCACCACCCTGATGGGGGGGTCCCAGGATACTGCTGAGGATAGCTGCTAGAAGCCTGTCCTCCAGTGTAGGGTGCCCTTGGACAACACTCACGGGACTTGCTGATCATGTTTCTCAGCAGGTAGCAGGGTTCCTGGGGAGAAGTGTCATCCCGGCTGCCTCGGGCCACCTAGGAGGTAGGAGTCCCAAGTGTCTGTCTAGTTGGCTCCACCAGCCCTTCTATCTAGACACTGGAGCAGGACACACCTCCTGCCTGCCCTTTTCCTCCTCTAAGAAGCACAAAGCCACTCCCTGGGGCAGGGAGCCCCAGGATGACCTTCCTCATCCAGGTCATCCTCCTAAGCCTTCAAAGGGCAGCATGAGGGATTTAGGTGGGAGCCCTGTTACAGGAAGGGAAACTGAGGCCCCAGCCCTCAAAGCTTCATTCCCATGCTAGATCAGCTGACATGAGGCTCTCCAGTGCAGTTCTCCTGCCTGTCCTGCTGAATTTTGACTTAGGAAGACTCAATTTGGGGGACAAGTGGGTACCTCCACCCACTTCAAACACGAAAATTGAGGTAACTGTTCCAGAGCTTGATTCGTACTTTATCCAAATGAAGCTGGGGCCACTCTTCCCTTTCCTTAGTAATCTCTGCAGACTTCAGCCAAGATACACTAGAGCAGATACTAAAATGAAGGTGGGGCTATGAAGGTCTTCCAGAAGTCCCCCTCCTAACCCTTCTAGTAACTGACTGTGATCAGGCCAGCAAGGTCACTGGACGAGGTCAGGAAGGGGTGCACTGGTACATGGACCAACTCCTCGGTCCTAATACCGAGTAAGAAATCTCTGTGGCTTCAACAGTCAAGGGAAGAGACACATGTGCCAAGCACCAACTGGCAGCTTCTTCCAGCCCATGCTCCTATCCTGTGCTGTTTCCCAAATGATCAAGAGAAAGAAAAACCACCAAGCTATACACTGAACACATGTATTTAGTGCTGAGAGTAATTTGGGTTGTGAAAGCCTGGTTCATAAGGTTTCAGAGGGAAACAAGGTCTCTATCAATAACTGGACTAGAGGCCATTTGAGTGATATTTTGGCAAAGAATCTGGCTGTTTTCTGCCAATGCCCTGAGTATTTATGTAAGGCTAAGTTAAAAAGCAATGAACTAATTTCTTTGGCAGAGGAAATTTCAAGACAGCATAACACTGAGTCTGTGGTATAGTTATTACTGATAACTCTCATATAGGTCTGCAATGAAAATGAGCAAATGGAGCAGAAAGAAATACAAAATGTACAGACTGGAGAGAAAAAAGAACATTAAACAATGTTACAGCCAAATCATGTGCTAAAAGAGAGGCTGTGGTTGTCAAGGAGATTAGTGCCGTTAAAGAAAGGCCTTCTGCTCTGCCCTGGGACAATGGGAAGGGTGACCTCAGGGCAAGACCTCACCCAACTAAGCTTTCAAGTTGTAAAAGGAGAAAGCTTAAGGAATTTTCTGCTCCGTGAAGAAATTATTTCAACAAGCAAAAGTTTCTACAAATGTAATGCAAGGGGGTAAGGGTCCAGCCCAAGCTGGCAGCCAAACTTGGCAGTACTGTCCATGTGGTACTCAGGGTTTGGAGGCATGAGGCAAGAGTGACGAGCTCATAGATTTTTTTCATCAGCAGTTTCAGTGAGCTGCTGAGGCTAGGCAACACATGGTAGGTGAGTCCCTGTGAGGCTGTGAGAAACCACTACATGAAGCTGTGAAAATGAAGCCTGGGTTGTAGTGGAGACCCCAAGATGCTGGAGATGCCACAGCCAAGAGACATTTGCCGAGTAGAGATCCACAGACAGTGGAACCAGTCCAAGAGAGAGATGTATGTTGTAGGCAACAAAGCTGGAGGGGTAGAGCCATCTAAGCCCCTTGAAACTAAAGCTTAGACACAGAGCTGCAGGATTTGATATTTGCCCTGCTGAGTTTCAGTCTAGCTTTGGCCCAGTATTTCCTTACTATATCCCCATTCCTCCCATTTATAATGGGAATGTATATTCTTTGCTATTATATATTGGAAACACACAATTTTAATTTTTTTATTTTATGGGGGGGTGTCACGGGAAAGAAATAAATAGCCTTGAGTCTCAAAAGAGACTCTAGACTTTTAAACAGTGTTGAAATTGTTAAACACTATGGGAACTCCTAAAGTTGAACTAGGGCCTGCATGGTGGTACATGCCTTTAATCCCAGCACTTGGGAAATAAAGCAGGCAGACCTCTATGAGTTCTAGGCCAACCTGGTCTACATAGTGAGTTCTAGGCCAGCTACATAGTGAAGCCCTATCTCAAAAAAAGTTTAAAGTTGAACTAAATGCATTTTTGCATTATGATATGGCCATGAACCTATGGGGACCAGGGAGTAGAATGTGATGATTTGAATGAGAAATGTCCCCCATAAGCTCACATATTAAACACATGGTCCCCTGTTATTGACACTGTTTGGGGAGGGTATGAAAATTTCAGGAGGTGCAACCTTGCTGGAGGAAGTATGTTACTAAGGGCAGATTTTAAGTGTATATAGCTGGGGCTACAGAGATGGCTCAGCAGTTAAGAACACTGACTGTTCTTACAGGAGACCTGGGTTTGAATCCCAGCACCCACATGGCAGCTAACAACTATCCATAACTCCAGTTCCAGGGGATCCGACAGCCTCTTCTGTCCTCCGTGGGCATTGCACAACATGGGTGCACTTACCTACATGCAAGCAATACCCACATACACATAAAATAAAAATAATAAAATTTAAAAAAAAAGAATGTATAGCCTTAGCTAGGCGCAGTGGCGCACGCCTTCAGTCCCAGCACTTGGGAGGCAGAGGCAGAAGGATCTCTGAGTTCAAGGCTAGCCTGGTCTACATAGTGAGTTCCAGGCCAGCTGGGGCTACAGGGAGACCCTGTCTCAAAAGAGTGTATAGCCTTAGCCTACTTCTAGTAAACCCGCACTGCCACCTACATATGGGTGGAAATGTGAGCTCTTATCATCATCCTCTTCTAGCTAGCTACCCGCCATGCCTGTCCCCACCTCTGCACCCCACCCCATTGACCATTACCTATTCACTCTTTGGAGTGTTAAGACCAAATAAACATTCTTCCTTAAAAAAAAAACAACAAAAAACTAGGGCCAGCAAGCAAGATGGCTCAGAAGTAAAGGTGCTTGCCACCAAGTCTGAGGACCTGAGATCAATCCCCAGAACCCACATGGTGGAAGGAGAAAACTGACCCCCTCAAGTTGCCTTCTGACCTCTGTATGCAAGCCATGGCATACACATCCCCTTACACACAAACTGCCCCCCAACCACACACATATAAATAAATGTAAAAAAAAAAAAAAAGGGTATCCTTCTGAGTCCCATATGCAGAAATTCTGGTTACTTGGTCTAGCCCAGTCCTGGAATTTGCTTACACACCACAGGTGATTGATTCTACTGTGTTAGTCATGGTGGAGAATCACCAGATTGGATGACCTCCAAAGCTGACTGCTCAATCTTTGATGGGCACATTTTGATTCAGAGGGTATGAGTGGGGCTGGAAGATCTATACCTTTTCTCACTAGTTCCCTGGGGGTCTGCAGGGACCACAACTCAGAGTTGTAAAACTCCACCCCAGGATCCTTCATTAACTGCACCCTCTCCTAGCCTCTTTCCTCAAGATCTCCCCTCCTAACAGGAACCCTTTCCTTCTTACTACATGTCTCCTTATCAGGTTACAGCTAGCTACACAGTGCAGTGACCTGAGGGGTTTAAAGTATCCAGATGTCTAGGTCTGGCTCTCCAAGACTGTTAGGGGCCCTGGCATTAGTAGTAAAAATGAAAACAAAACGAAACAAAAAACCACCTCCTCTGAGATTCTAGCACAGTCAAAATGGAAAACACTACATAGAACACGTTCCACAGTAAATGACAGACAACTAACTACTTAGCCATACTCTGGTCTTGACCTTGTGGGACGAGACTTTGGCAATCATCAGCAAGTAGCCTGGAACAGACCCAAGTAACAAGACAACTACCCCTTCTTTGTCCTCTTTCTCAAAGCAGGTCTGTATTGGCACATTTTTGTTCCAAACAGGAACCGGTGCAGTGCTAAGCTGACTGCCCAATCAAGGGTTTAGAGAACCTACTTCATCTCCTTGTTGGGTTGAGCTCAGAAGATTGCCCTGTGTTCCCTGTATTCCAGGAGCACAGGGCTTCTTACACTGGCTGCTGCAAGGACAACTTGTAGGGAAGCGCTCAGTTATCTATCCAGTTCCAAGGCTCAGTGGCCTCTCCCTTGGACCAGCTGCCAAGGAGAACTGCTCACCCAATCTGCTAGGAGAAGCTAGCCCAGGGCTGTCTGTGTCGTTGGTATTCTGCCATGAACCAAGGTATCCCTGGTTAAAGTGAGCTGATGAAACCAGACAAGGGACCTATAAGGACAGAACAGGGGTCATAGGGGAAGAAACAAGGCCCAGTGGGAGCAGGTACTCAGCCAGTGCTTAGTGCTTGTTAACTGAAAGGAGCCCAACTAGATATCCCCCAAGAGCTCAGCCCACCCAGGGACACAGCTTGATGCTTTGGGAGATCTGGGAAAAGGGGCAGGCAGAAGTCCTGGGTCTGCTGAATGATCCTGTGTTCTTTAGTCTTTCAATCTCTGTCCCTTAGGATTTTCTGTTTTTCCAGTACTGGGGATTGAACTCAGGACCTTTTGTTAGCCAAGTGTTCTACCACAGAGCCACATTCCCAACTGTAAGGAAAAAAGTAGAGCTACCTGCCTATAGACTCACCCACTACTTCCCCCTCCAAACCCTTCCACCTCGAGGTGGATCCTTGTCCACTGCCTTCCCAGACTCTTGATGGTCCAGTCAAGGCCCGCACCCCTTTGCCCTGCAGCTTGCACTCTTCCCTCTTCTGTCTTCTGACACACACTCTCCCAGCTCCCTGAAAGTACAAGTCTCATTCCTTCCTCCGGCCATCCCTACCTCTGGGCTTTCCTCCAAAGGTCAAACCTTTATGCTCTACTTCCTCACTCTCACTCCACCCTCCTCACTTCTTCATAACTTTCAGGCTGAAATCACCCTTGCAGAGGCCATCTCTGGCCTCCTACCACCACACCCAAGAAAGGTCTATTTTCCATCCTCCCAGTACCAACAACCCTTGGATTTTATGGATCATGCCTCCC